CCAGACCATAGAACTATAAAAATGATACAGCACAGAAGAAGGCCATTTGGCCTGTCTTGTCCATGCTAACCCAAAGACACCCAGATGCCCTTTCTAATCCCATCTTTTTGCACACAGCCCATAGCCCTGCAGTTACAACACTTAATGTGCAGATCTGGCTACTTTTTGAGGGTCTCTGCCTCTACCATCAACTCAGGAAATGAATTCCAGATACCCACCACCCTCTGTGTAAAAACACTTTTCCTCCCGTCCTCTCTAATCCTTCTGCCGTTTAGTTTGAATCTTTAACCCCTGGACAAAACTCTCTGCCAGGAGACAAAGGTTGCTCCTGTCTGTTCTCTCTACCCCTCACAATTTTGTATTCCTCAACCATGTCATTCCTCAGCCTTCTCTGTTCCAATGAAAGCGACCCCAACCTCTCCAATCTCTCGTCATAGCTACAGTTCTCCAGCCCTGGCAACATTCGAGTAAATCTCCTCTGCGTTATCTCCTGAACAATTTTGTCCTTTCCTGTAATATGGTGACCACAACTGCACACAATACTCCAGTTCTGTTCTCACCAGTGTCTTAAACAGTTTCATCATTATATCCCTGGTTTTGTTTTCTGTACCTCTGCCAAGGAAGGAAAGCATTCGATATGCTGCCTTTACAACTTTATCTACCTGTACTGCTATTTTTTAGTGACCTGTGCTCTTGCACGCCAAGAATTCTCACTTTATCTACCCCTCTCAGTATATTTCTGTTTTTTATGTATTCCCTTTTACTTTGCGACCTCACTTACTTATCAGAGTTGAATTCCATCTGCCACTTTCCTGCCCAGTCCACCAACCCATGTATTTCATTTTGGAGCTTACAGCTATCCTCCAAAACTTTCCCAATTGTTCCCCCCGCCCCCACGTTCAATCCATGTAAAGGTATCAAACAAACAGCCAGGGTCCCAATACCTAGCCCTGCAAAACACCACTTGAAACAGCCTTCTATTTATAAGGTCAGCCATCAGTCATTACCCTTTGTTGCCAACTTTGGATCCAACACAACATATTGCCCTGTATCCCATGGGCTTTTACATTTTTGACCAGTCTGTCATGTGGGACCTTGTCTACGTGGATTTTACTAAGGTATTTGACAACATCCACTGCAGAACTCTCATTGATTCTCCTTGTCACTTCCTTAAAGAATTCAATCACATAGTTAAGGCATGACCTTCCCTGTGCAAAGCTGATGCAATGTTAAATTAGAATCAGAATCTGATTGACACCTGACATTCAACACTCAGTGAGACCCTTGGTTTTGAGAAATGCCTCTGCTGGCTGGACAAACCTGCTTTCCAAAATTATCATGTGGTACTCTGTGAACTTGCACACTGCCACCATTTTAACAAGCCATTTCCATGAGCACTCTGAAATAAAATTAGGTCTGATGTTTTTGGATGTTTACACTAGATATTCAAGAACAAGACATTCTATGATCCAGAAATGCTCTTATCTGCCTCTCTCCTCAAGGAAAACACAGTGAGCCCCAGTGGTTGGACAGACATCCTCTGTTACTGTATTCTTACCTTGAGATTACCAGCATGTAAGTAGGTTCCTCCATCTCCACTAGGGAGTTGAACCAGATTGGGATGGGGCTTTTGCTACTAGGTAAAAATAGTATAATTTACACTAACCTGAAGCTGCATTGTCTCCAGCATTAATGTTAAGTGCTGAAGCATATCTGGCAAAATGCAGTACTGACTATGATGAATTGAACCAGTCTAGTTGTAACTATACAATTTCTAAACTGCAGAATGTTCAGAGAAAACTCCCTATTCACAATTCTATACAGATGGGATCCTTGACCAGGAGGAGGTATTGAACAAAGTCATAACTGACACTTAAATGAGAGTAGAAAATGAGTGTATCTTTGAGACTCCTTGAAATGTTCCCCCTTTTTCCAGCTGTCACATTGTCATTCACAACAGTTGAAAATTTTACAGCCATGTTGTCCATCCCACACCCTCTTTATTTAGTGCCTGTATAATTAAACAAGTTTCAAAATGACTCACTGTTACAGTTTTATGCTTGGATTTATAATAGGCTATTCACCTTGAAAATGGACGACACATTGCATGTACATTACAGCTACTGTGTCTCAGTAAATAATTGTTTTTAAAATTGATAGATTCTAGAGAGGAAAGCAACTAACAGACCTGTTCAATGTCTTTGTTTGGTTTGGTTAGAAGAATTTTGAAATGCAATTATAAAGAAATATTTTTAAGCAAGTTGGTTTTTAAAGTATTGAAAGTAACCTGCACTTTAAAATGTTTATAATTAAATTGAAGACGACCATTCATCCCCATTTAGTTTTAAAACTTGCTGTGAGATTTTATTTACACCATTTGTTTTAATATATTTTGGAGTATATTTATAACCCCTGAGATAACATGTATTCAAATTATCACAACAGGAATTTAAAATATCACTCAGAAGTACAATTCTTACAACAGTCGATATTTCTTTTTATTAAAATCAAATAAACACAGATTTTACAATGATTTGAGTCAATATTATAAAATTTTGTCAGTGTTTCCGTGTCAAGCACAGTGGTTCTTTACCTGTTGTTTTTTTAAATTTCTCATTCTCTTCTAGCATAACACAGTGCAGCGCAGTCACTTCCAAAATTACTATTGAAGAGGAGAGAGAGAACATTGGGGTACATTTTGAGTCTCGTTGAGTTTCCAGTGGATTGTGCCAAATCAATCTATTGCCCATCCATTGTGAAGGAGGCTCCCAAACTTTTAACAGGCCATGCTTCATTAACATGGTGCCACTTGATTCCCTGTTAGAAGGTTTGCTGGAATTGGCAATCCCTTAAAAGCTTTGGAGACAGAAGTTTGGGGGGTGGTAGGGATCTGCATGAAGGGGTCTCGGGGAGGAAAGGAATGTCCAGGATAGGAGACACCCGAACTTGTTGTGAGTACCAGGGAACCACTCTTACACCTTCAGTTCATCAAGCAAAGCCCAGACCATACCGTTTTTTGGAAGCCTTTCCTATCTTCCAGCAGGTTATGGCTGGTGCTCACCTGGTGGGAAAGCTGTCTGCTCGGGTTGGAGTTAAAATTACATTGGCACCTAATTGATTCCTGCATCGCTCTGTTCCAGGAAGGATTCTTTTGGTTTTGGCTGGAAGTCAAAGTAGAAGTCACAGCTGGCAGGATTATGATGGCTTTCTGGTGTAAATGGGCTCAGGCAGGCTTAAACACATTCATTTTCTGCTTTCCAACATGATTTTTAGTGCAGCTTTTATACAATCAGCATTGTAAGTTGTCCAGTGCTAGGCAGGGCAGCAATAATGCCAAATACATGTGGATCCATGTCAAGGACTAACTTCAATTAAACGTAGAAAAGGAGCAAAGAACATTAGCAAATAATGCAGGTTTTTTTTGAGTTGTTGATACTTTCTGCTCTCGAACTGTGCACCATGGTTTTAAAAAGTCTGACTAACCGCAAGAAGTGAAGGTTAGGACCTCATCTGGGACGTTACTTTTTGGTGATACCCGTTATAAAGTTAGCAATGGTGAACTTTGCTCCATGCCCACTGGCTCTGCTCTATGCAGCAGTCCTGGATGTAGGCTTATTAATATGTCCCATGCAGCAGAGTTATGTGCAGTGACGTTAGTCCGGCAGCAACAGAAAACTGATTTAAACTTGTTAAATGGGCAACAAATGCAGAAGGCTGGAGAAATTTAGCAGCATCTCTGGAGAGAAATACAGTAAATGTTTCAAGTCTGATATGACATGTCTTCAGAATGCAATGGACTAAATGGGCAATTGACAGCAAAGTTCCAGAGGCAATGTGATCTTGAAGGTGTCACACCAGCCCAACACTTTCAGAACCACAGTTAGTCAAATGAGATGGCTGTATGGTGGCAGGTCAGAGCAGCATGAAATCACAAAGCAGTCTGACCATGCAATGGTGCAAACACCATGTGGGCAGCCACAAGCAGAAGCTCACTACTGCCAAGAGCAGCTCCTGGGCACTGCCAACAGACAGCGTAAGCACAGATTATTATATGGGGAACTGCCCCCCACAGGACAGCCTGTGACTGCAGCTTTGTGCCATTGATTCCTGCCATACTGGGATGGTGGGATTGGATTTAAAGGAGGCCAGGCTAGGCCCCTCCCCGTGACACTGAAGCTCCAGGTTCCTGCAGGACTCCAGCCTCACCAGGGAAGCCATCACCATCAGGGAAATCACAACGGTGTCATCAATGTACCCCAAGGTAATCCCTTTAATACCTGTTTGGGCTGGTACCTGATGCCAGTCTGACCCCACCTTTACTGACACGCATTTCTTTAAATTCACCATCCTCCCATCTCCATGTGACTGACTGAGATTCTACCACATCTGGAAAACTTAGCCCCTAGTTTCACTCTATTGCTGACCAATTTTAATCTTTCCAAGTTTATTTGGATCAGTAAATTCATGACCACCATCGCTTCAGGCACAAAATCCCCATCGTGGCTTTATCAATCCTTCCAGTTTATCTTGCACCTCTACCTGTCCTAGAACCATTACAAAACTGGAGCCAAATACACCAGAATGTGTTTGCTGTGGTCTTTGGAAAGTGTCAAGTTACCTTTCTTTGTTTCATGCTTTCTAAATTCCATACAGGACAGCCTCGATTGTGATAGAGAAGTTCATCTTTATTAAATTATGTTTTCAGTCAAATGCATGCGGGTCGTAAAGTTAAAATGCAAATCTTCTATCATTCTCCAAGTTTGCTTCAATTATTTTAACTGGTTGATCATAGGCCGTCAAGACTCAGCGAATAATTAGTCAAAAGAAAACATGTCAGTAACCAAATTCAGCCTGTGCTTAAAAAATTGGTGATTAATGACATTATGAATGTTTTTTGGATTACATATTCAGCCTACTTGATCAGATTTTACTAGTCAAGCACAAAATTTGGGAGACCCATCCAGCATTTTGAATAATGCAGTATCTTTTTGCATCCACAGTTCCGAAAGCTGGTTTTTCTGAATCTGATGGAAGTGACAATTCAGGTAGGTAATTTCTAGATTTATGGGTCAAGCTAACAGAAATTGTTCTAGTTAAATTGTGCTTCCCTTGGATTTTTTTCTGGGACCTATTTTATGTTTTAACACAACCTGTAAGAAAGATGCATTGCAATCCAATATCATTGTGGACATTTTGTTTCACACCTCCAATCAGCTCTGAAGTAATGCAAGCAGATTTTTAAAGCTGGCCACTGTCAATTTATAAAGTAATAGAGAGAGACAGAGTCAAACAGCACAGAAACAGATCCGTCAGACCAACCAGGGCATGCCGACCATAATCTCAAACTGAACAAGTTCTACCTGCTTGCGTTTGGCCATATCCCTCCAAACATTTCCTATTCATGAATTTTAAACATTGTAATTGTACCTGTATCCACCACTTCCTCTAGAAGTTCATTCCACACATGAGCTATTCTCTGTTTTTAAAAAAAAATTTTGTTCTGCTCTGTTACTTCTGTTTCTCATGCTCCACCTGTTACTTCATGTTTGTTAGCTTCAAGATGACCGGAGGTCAAACTTCTATTTTTTTTTTAAAAAAACATTCACTGAGTTTAACCCAACTAAAATCCCGATGTCACTTTGCATGCCCTTTGCTGATTGGGAACATATTTTCGAGAAAAATGTGCTCCTTGAGCAAAGTCTAATAGAACAGCATGAATCCACTCGGCTGCCCAGGGTTCCAGTTTTGAAATGGGAACTGTGAGAATAACTTCCCAGGCAGGAAAATAATAAAAAAGAATTATACAGCAATATGTTTTAGAAGGAAAACATTGCGGCTCCACAAGGGTGTGTGTGATTGCAGGATATGTGCTGTCTTTTGAATATTAAGGTCAACTTGTTGTTTCGACTTTTGACAAAATATGTTGTTTATTTGTATAAAACATTAGAATTGTTAGAAAACAGCTATTTTATTAATATGAAAAGGGGAAGAAGACACTGGTGGGAGATAGTATAGCCTAACTGTAGCCGTTACATAGAATAGAGAATACATTAAAAGATAATGAGGGCCCTTTTTTTTCTAAACAAAAGGCACTGCGTTAATCATGGGCGACTTTTAATCTTCTAATGGATTGGGAAAATCGAATTGACAGAGATACTCACAAGGGGAGGCAATGGCTATGTAGTATTTTCACAAGACTATTAATCCAGAAACTCTGCTAATGATCTCAGGACCCAGGTTTGAATCCCACCACAGCAGATGATGGAATTTGAATCTGACAATGACCATGAAACCGTTGTTGATTGTCAGGTAAAACCTGTCTGGGTCATTAATGTCCTCACCTGGTCTGGCCTACATGTGATGCCAGACCCACAGCAATGTGGTTGACTCACAACCGTCCTCTGAAACGGCCTAGCAAGCCACTCAGCTGTATCAGTTGACTGCAGTTATTCAAGAAGACAGCTTGATACCACCTTCTCAAGGACAACTGGGGTTGGGCAATAAATGCTGACCAGCCAGCATGTCCCATGAATGAATTTTTTTTTAAAAATCTCGAATAAAAAGCTTCTCTTAGCAAACAGTGACCATGACATGCTTGAATTTAGCACTCGGTTTGAGAGTGAGTAACTTGGGTCAGAAACAACCACTAAACTTAAATAAGGGTTATTACATAGGAATGAAAGTAGAGTGGACTAGGAAAGGAGTTTAGCAGAAAAAATGGTTGATGAATGATGGCAGACGTTTTTAAAAAAAATAGTTCATGACTCACCGCGAAGATCTATCCTGGTGAGGAAAGAGTATTTTAGGAAGGGGAAATAAATCAATTCGTTAACCAGGGAATTAAAGGAAAAAATCAAATTGAAGAAAAAAGAATACAATGTGACAAAGATTGGTGGTAAATCAGAATATTGGGAAAGTTTTAAACACAAGCCAAAAAAAAGGGAGAAAGTAAGCTGAGAGCAAACTAGCAAGTAAGAAAGAGGACAGTAAGACCTTCTTTAAATATATAAAAAGGAAGAGAAAGGCAATGGTGACATAGCTTTTAGAGAATGCGGGTGGGAACAAATGATGGGGAGCCAAGAAATGAGTTGAACAAATACTATGTATTAGCCTACATGGTGGAGGATACCAAAAGCATTCCAAACATACTAAATACCGAAGGGGCTAATGAGAAGGAGAAAATAAACACAATAATTATCACTAGAGAGAAAGTACTAGGGAAACTAATGGTGTTAAAGTCCAACAAGCCTTCTGGACCTGATCAGTTCCATCCGAGGGTTTTAAAAGTAGTGAATGAACTGGTAGCAATCTTACAAAAAAAAATTAGAATTTGGAGAAGTCCCAGAGGACTGGAAAACTGCCAATATAACATCCTCCATTTATAAAGGGAGAGCGACAATATTATTGAAAAAATGTTACAATCTATTATAAAGTATATAATAGCAAAGCATTTAGAAAACCACAATATAATCAAGTAGAGTCAGTCTGACTTGATGAAGGGGAAATCATGCCGGACAAAATTATTAGTCTGAGGTGAACAAGCAGGGTTGATAAAGGGGAAGTAGTAGATTTTGGATTTGGATTTTCAAAAGATGTTTAACACGGTACCACACGAGGCTACTTAACATGATAAAACATTTGAACAAGGATATCAGAGATAGTAGGAACTGCCGATGCTGGAGAATCTGAGATAACAAGGTGTAGATCTGGATGAACACAACAGGCCAAGCAGCATCAGAGGAGCAGGAAGGCTGACGTTTCGGGCCTAGACCCTTCTTCAGAAATGGGGGAGGGGAAGGGGATTCTGAAATAAATAGAGGGAGAGGGGGAGGCGGATGGAGGATGGATAAAGGAGCAGATAGGTGGAGAGGAGGCGGATAGGTCAAGGAGGCGGGGATGGAGCCAGTAAAGGTGAGTGTAGGTGGGGAGTTGTGGTGGGGGTTGGTCAGTCAAGGGAAGATGGACAGGTCAAGGAGGCAGGATGAGGCTGGTAAGTAGGAGATGGGGGTGGGGGTTGAGGTGGGAGGAGGGGATAGGTGGGAGGAAGGATGGACAGGTCAGGGAGGCGGGGATGAGCTGGGCTGGTTTTGGGATGCGTTCGGGGGAGGGGAGATTTTGAAGCTTGTGAAGTCCACATTGATACCATTGGGCTGCAGGGTTCCCAAGCGAAATAGGAGTTGCTGTTCCTGCAACCTTCGGGTGGCATCATTGTGGCACTGGAGGAGGTTCAGGATGGACATGTCGTCCAAGGAGTGGTAGGAGGAGCTGAAGTGGTTCGCGACTGGGAGGTGCAGTCGTTTGTCATGAACCGAGCATAGGTATTCCACAAAGCGGTCCCCAAACCTCTGCTTGGTCTCCCCCGATGTCGAGGAGGCCACATCTGGAACAGTGGATACAGTATACCACATTAGCAGATGTGCAGGTGAACATTTGTCTGATGTGGAAAGTCTTCTTGGGGCCTGGGATGGGGGTGAGGGAGGAGGTATGGGGGCAGGTGTAGCACTTCCTGCGGTTGCAGGGAAAAGTGCCAGGGGTGGTGGGGCTGGAGGGGAGTGTGGAGCGGACAAGGGAGTCACGGAGAGAGCGTTCCCTCCAGAAAGCAGATAAGGGCGGGGAGGCAAAAATGTCCTTGGTAGTGGGGTCAGATTGCACCTCAAATGCTGCCTGACCTGCTGTGTTCCTACAGCTATACACTGCAGTGGTGAACATTCCTTTTTCAGACTGGAGAAAGGTGATGATGCCCAGGGGTCAGTTTTAGGATCATTATTGTTTGATCTGTACCACTGACCTAACCTTGGGTATCCAGGCTGGTGAGAAAGTGGACACATAGGAGATGAAGTTAATGCTGTAAGTTTGAGGGGAAGCCTTTATAAAATGAAGGATAACCATCATCTAAGGAGATGCAGGGACAGAAGGAAACAGATATATATGTGTAAAAAATAGTTGAGGATGACTGGGCAGGTGAAGAAAGTTGTTAAAAAGGCAGGTGTAAACTAGGTTGGATCAATAGAGGCATGGAGTTGAAAAGCAAGGAACAATTATACAACAACAACTTAGTCTGTACTGGACTATTGTGTCCAATTCTGGGTACTACACTTTAGGAAGGAAATGAAGGCTTTAACAAGGGTGCAGTAAAGAATAATGACAATGGATCCAGGGGTGTGAGAGTTTAGTTACATAATAAATTAAAGAAGCATGGGGTGGTTCTCCATAGAGAAGGTTGAGAGGAGATTTGATAGAGATGAAAATCTTGAGGGATTGGAGAGAGAAGACTGTTCCCATTAGCAGAAAGGTTGAAAACTGGAGAACCCTGTTGCGAGGTGATTGGCAAATGGCTTGACAGTGACTTAAGGTGAAATGTTTTGCCCAGTGAGTATTAAGGATCTGGAATGCACTGCCTTAGAGGGTGGTGGAGGCACATTCAATCACAGCTTTCAAAAGGGAATTGAACAGGAACCTGAAGAGAACATTTGGAGATCTGTGGGGAAAGAGTAGCAAAGTGGAACTAGATAGTGGGATTTTTGTTTTGTTTTAAAGAACTGGCGTAGATGTGATGGACAGATTGCCCTCTTCATGTGCTGTACAATCCTATGAGGCTCCTTTATCACTTGACTCAATCATCCCAAGAATGACCTGGCACCTAAAACCATCTTATTTTGAAATGTCGTCTGTTGCTGCCTTGGGAAATAAGGCAGCCGTTTGTGCACACTGGTTGGTTGAATGACCTTATCTCCACATCAAGGCTTAACAGGGAAAAATATCAACCAGGGTACCCAGGAGAATTCTCCACTTGTATGCAGACCATCTGAACCACAGAAGCAAGAAATTTGAACCTATTGTCTCTGAGTTAGACGTGAATATATTACAGTCAAACTAAAAGCAGATTTTAAGATCATAGTATGTGCTCTAATTTTAATTTACAGCAATAAATAGTCTTGTAGAGCTGTAAGTACCTCTTTCAAAATATACATTGAACAGGGAGGTGGCAGTCCTTTGTTGAAGTATTTATTGTTCTTCCGAGTCATGTGTTTACCCAGAGATGCTC